TTTCGTTTATTCATAGACAATATTACATGTATGTGCCTTGTTTTTTTGTTGTTTTAACTCGTCAAGATCAATATCTAAACAACAACATCTTTTTGTGTTACATAAATGTGATTTAAACCACCAATCTGATTCAGGTAATAGACCAGGATGATTATCGGTAACACGTATCATTAATCCAGTACAAACAATAGAAGCATCTGGATCATTAAAATCCACAATGTCTTTATTTTGATCATCTATCACCCATTCGATAATATTATTACTGATATTAGAATCAATAATAGTATCACTAGCTCCTAATGTTTCCTCCGCTATTCTTTTAATACTAGTTGGATGAACGCGACATTCTAATACGAATTGAATATATTCACCAGATTTAAAAACTTTCTTTTGCTCTGGTGTTATAATACGCTTAATTTCAGAATATCTTGGATGGCATGCGTAAATAATCGAAGGAGTAGCATATATACCATTGCCGTGTTGTGCACGATCTGCTGGTTTTAGTCCACATAATAATATAGATAAGCCATATGAAAATTTTGTACCATGGTAACATTTACACCATCCTTTAAATTTCTCAGGAAAGTGATCAGTAACATACAAAGCATATCTTTTCCATCCAACAGGACAATAGTATGGTTGATTACCACGATCTATTCCATCATTGAGAGCACCTTCCCAATATGTATGACCTTTAGCATATGTAAGATTCCATTCAGGATGTAGTTTAATTGCATTACGAAATTTTTGTTTTTTATTTAATGATGTAATGTCACCCATAAACATGAAGTAAATCTTTAATTTACCTAATTCCTTTCGAACTTTATTCGTTAGTGTTTTGAATAGAATTTTTAGTTTTTGAAGTTTAGAATCGATTTTCTTGAAAATTTCCATTTCGAGTACAACACAACCCTTCTGTATTTTTTTAATATCAATATCATCTATATCTATATCTAACATGTTGCAAATTTTATTTAAAAACTTTTGTAGCACAAATTCACTGTAATCGACATCGATAGCAAATTTTAATGTTGATGACTTTAATTCAATATCATTTTTAAAAATTTCATCAGAAGTAGATATCAATGGCGTTTTTGTGATATGATAATATTGTTTACATTCTGTATAATAAGCATCTTCTTCAGGTGATATTGGTTCATCAGTCAAAAATGTTTCTTTTTCTAGTTTCTTTTGTTTTTGTGAAATAAGATCTAAAAACAATGTTAAAATTGAGAGATAGAGTTTCAGATCTGCCTCGACTCATTCTTCTCACAGACACCTTATCAACACTAGAGAATCGAAACAGTTCTATAAACATTATTATCTATAATGATGGTAAGCGATATCTCCGGTTTGCAAACAGAAAAACGATTCCGTTCCTATTTTGAGATTATAATGGTCAGAAGTTCGTTTTTCATTAAAATAAACATGATATTCAGTATCGATACTGAGCACATTAAATCGAACACTCTAGATTCTCTCGACTAAAACATTCCATCATACTTCAATACATTGACTTGGATTTGTTTCGAATAATTTAATAATTTTGATCTACAATTTACTATTTTTTAGCGAATGCTATCTGAATCTAATTCAATACTTTGAATATTGGTTAGTACTAATAACTCAATACCAATGTTAATATTGATGCATCACTATCTTTATCCATTCTCAATGCTATGAGGTTGAAATTCGATAATTTTTTCTTCATAGAATCTGTTTTTTGGTTCATTTTCTAATGTTGAGTTCAAATATCCAGTGCATTTCGCATGATAATTCAACAAAGGAGTAGCTTTGCTTTTAGAAGGATACTTAACTGGTTTTCACGGTTGTAAGATGAGTAAAGCCAAAAAAAAATATCGAGACTTAAAGCTTTTGCTATTTATTTTAGTCATGGGTCATCTTACTGCCCAACTTGTTTCGACCTTACTGTATTTGAGCAGTTTTCAAATCATATTTCTAGATTC